TCCCCTCCAGCGCGAGTCGCGGCCGGGGCTTGTGGCACGGCAGAAACGCAGCTCTGCGGGGAAGGAGGCGGTCTGCAGCCTGCGGGAGCTCTCCTCTGCGAAGCTGTCGTCTTGCGCTTTGCGACGGCTGGGGGTGAGCTAACGCGAGCTCCTTTTTTAAATGAGGCCTTAATCGTGCGTTAGGCTAATCACCAGGAGCCCTGGCGCAGGGGGGGCTTTGCATTCCCTCCTGGGAGGGAGAGAGAGGGGGGACCGAAGTGCTCCCCAAAGGAATCTCCGAGCTTACGTGGTGCTAAAATGGAAACTTTCGGCGGAAGCGCCCAGACCTGCAGCAATCGACACCCTTGTCTTCGGTACAGGATATTCCAAATGTTTGTGTGCTTCTCGGTGTGTGGAGGGCGGCTCCAGAAAGAAGAAGCTGCTGCCACCAGTGCAGATTTTGTGACTGTTTGTCGCATCTCTTCTTCCGTGTCTGCCGTAGGTGTTTGTTCCATCTCTGAACAGGTTGCGCTTTACTCGTGCTCGGTAACTGCACCTTAACAAGGTGTAATACAGCTAAGTACCAGGGCCGCAGCCCCGCTGGTGCTTGAAGACCCTGACTTTATTCTTTCCAATGTTACAGGCCAGGTGGGAGAATCTCCTTCTGTTGCCCAGACTCGCTTTTCTCATGTCACTGAGAAACTTCTGAAGAAACTAAGCTGGACCCTAAGACCTTTCAAGCGATCGCTCTAATGGAACTTAAGTGGCGTACTGTCGCTCGCAGCTCACTTGTGAATCAGTACGGCAGCAAGTCCGCATTCTGTGCGGTCTTCGGCAACTCGTACAGAGGCGCTCGCTGTTCTAGATGAACACCCTGCACCTTCCCAGAGGAGGTCACGAGCTAGTCTGCTCTTCGGTTGTCGATTTCTTTCTCAGCATAAGTATTGCAGTAGGCAAGTTGCGTGTTAGCTGCCTCCCGGATGAGGCCACGCGTCACTTTTTTCAGTGGCTACCGAAGCGCTGTGGCCTTGATGGTATGTGATGTCTGAAAGCTCTGCTGTTAGCCCAGGGTTATCTACGTGATGCAGTTAAATTGGAGGCACTGCAGCTGTGTTTGTCTTGACCTGGTTGTCTGTTACCAAAGGCCTCTCATTGCAAAAACATCTCGTGGAATATCTGGTAATATTATTGCCTGCTAGCAGTTGAATAATCTTTGAATAACCTGATTGTGTAGACAAAAATAATTATTTGCTGGTAAGTTGCAGCCTGTTGAAATTATTTTGTGAGTATGTCGAAAGTGCCACAGTATGTACCACTCATCTGATCAGTAACAGGTTAAATGTGAAAGTGGGGTGCCTGGGACGGTGTTAGGCTAAAACAGCACAAACTGAAAATCGATCTGAATCAGTGTTGCGTAGTTGCTGTCCTCATGTTTGTAGGGTGAACCTGTGAGGCCCCCTAACCCACACGTGAAGGGGATGGAGCGTTAAATAATTCTGTAACCTAGCTGTGCTCACTCTGATTTTGCTGTTCTTAAGTTTGTTCTACTTGAAAGAATGTGTTGGGTTTCCATCAGCCTACGACTTGAGTTAGTCTGAACTGGAAGATTTCAAAATCTTCCAAGCTGCCAACTTCAGGTCAGGCGCTGCAGCGTAGCAACCTTCCTGCTATCTCTTCACGCTGGAAACAAGTGTGTTGAGAAATGCGCACTCTGCACGTGTTCATGGGAGCGCAGTGGCCTACATTTTTGTGCAGTGAGTTATATGCTGCCTGTTGAATGTGATATTTTTTTTTTCCATTAGAATTTGTGGGATGAAAAGAATTGTTGGCAAGTGCTAAAATATTTCCCCCCCTGCAAAAGTACTTGATTTGATCTAGTTCCGTAGAGGCTTTGTAAGGGAGTAGGTAGTCTTCTGCGCAGTTCGGCAGGACTAAATTGTCACTGGTGACTTGTTACCAAAGGAAGATGGTCTTCAATGCTCAGTGGACGGGTATTTACCTCGCCACCCAAGCAATCTGTGATGGAACTTCCTGGCTGAGAACCAGGCGGGATGTAAAGGCAGTTACACCTGACACTTCTCTGGAGGTGATGGCAGAGCTGTCACCGAGTGTGTTTAACGTTGTATTTGCCTGAACTGTACTGACCGGGTACGTAGATGTCAGCTTTTGTACTGTTTCTGGCCAATGCCGTAGACTTCTGAGTATTACTTTTGCTTTAAGGGGATGAGGGAGCAGAGGAAAAAAATGCAATCGTAGTTCTTGCTTCGTGGGTTGGTATGGCATCCCTGGCTTGACGTTTGAACTCTTTCAAAGCTTAATCTTACACTTAAGACTAATAATGAAGTTTATTAAATTCAGTTCTCATGAAAGCCATAACACTAAAATTGGGCTGTGGAATACAATGCTTAGTTATTAATAACTAAATAATTCGGAGCAGGGAAGGCTTTCCTGATCAGTCACAGTAACTGCATTCCTCGAAGTCACTGGGATGTGAGATGACATAAGAGTAAGAAATCTGGAATACCTTTGAAAGAACTGACTCATACGTTGCTTTCAATGTTTGTGCTGGACTTGTTTGGGTTTTTTGTGGACTCTTAAATATTTGAGATGTATCAAAAATTGCTTTTTCAAGTGAATGCTGGGGCTTTGAGATGGTCTGTCCTGCATCTTCTGCACCATGCTTCGAGTGAGCGGATTAGTTTGTGGATCATAGGTGGTGACTGATCTGTCCAGCTGCTCCTAGGCAGGGTGGCTTTTCTTCTGTGGCATTTTGGCGTGGGGGGCAAGAGAGGGATGATGTTTGCTCCCCTTTTGAGTGATGGGATTAGAAAATAAGCAAAGCTGCCTGTGCTTTGGACAAAAAAGGATTTCTATCAGACTGTCCTTAAGTCTTGTTCTTATTGACAAAACAGCGTCTTGCTTGGTTCTTACCCTCTCCTGTTCTCCTTGGCAGTCTCATTTTCAGTACAACGCATGTGTTTGCAGCACTTACTGGCTCCCTCTTCATACACATGCTGTCCTTCTTGTAACCTGCCATATGTACTGCCTGAATCTGAATTTCTGGGAACGCTATGACGAGGAAAGGCTGTGGCTTGGTTAGCCTGTAGCGTGCCATCTTGGGTACCTTGAAAGTGGATGAATATCCTGAGACTTACTGAGAGTCAACGTGCTGTATGTTTAGAATTCCTTTCTATTATCAGGCTCCAAGTTCTAATTTCTGTGGGGATGGAGAGGTCTTAAGACTTACTTTTCTTTATCCCCTTGCAGAGTACTTTTTCAGATCATCCTCGAATAGATTTAGGGCTTTGCAATTACTCTAGTATTTAGGAAAACCACCGGTGACATGAAATGTAAATGGTTGTGGATGGCTTTGCTACTTCCTACAGAGCTCTGGGGAAATGTCTGTCGCGCAAACTCAAGTATTCTGCTTGACGAATGGGAAAAGTAGCAGAAGTACTAGAACTGTCTGAAGGGCCAGGTGACAGAGCCTTATTGTTTTATATCCTGCTAATACCTAGAATTGGTCATTTTATCGGTTGCTATTCTTTTGCAGGACAGCATGGAGACATTCTTCCCAGAAGCTAGGCCCTTTCTCTTGAAAGCTGAATTCTGCAGATATTGGTGTTTGAGGCCTGCTGTAACTAAGCAAAGAAGCTTCATGTTTGAAAGTGTTCTGGTGTTACATTATTTTTAAAGAGCGTTGAAGGTATAGGAGGACAGAAGTGCAAGGTATAGGAAAACATGTATTCCTCACACAACTTTGGGTTATTTTGTTTGGTTTTCTTGGCTTTACCAGTACAATTTGTAGCTCAGGTTTGTACTGTGTCCTTTAAAGTGTTTCTTGGAGAGCTTTATTTTGGAGAAATTAGGTGCAGAAACAGTTCTGTGGTAGTGATGCTTTTTTCCAGTGTGTTTCAGAGCTTAGTAAAATGGATGTGTTGGGTTTAGAGGAAAAAAAAAAAGGGGGGGGGAATTAAGACTGACATACAGCGGGACAAAAGCAGTGGCTAGCAGTACATTACTCAAGGTCATTTAGTCAGATAAGGGCTAGGTCTTGCTTACTTTTGCTGTGTTTTAACTTTTGTGCTTATTTTTCCCATTTTAAGTTGAATATGAGAAGTTAAAGTGTATTTTTAACTGCTACATCTCCTTAAAAAGCTCAACTCTTAATTTTGCAGGATATTTTTTCCCACTGTAGTGAGGTGGCGTGTTGTCTGCCTGTAATCCGGTGGCAGCTGGGAGGCTTTAGAGATAAGGGTGCAAGTTTAAATAAAGCGGGGGGGGCGGGAAGAGGAAAATATCCCAAAAGGTGGTAATGTAAAAATTGCTTTGATTCTCTTACTTTGCCCTTTACTTGGAGGGTTCTGTGCCAGGGTGATAATTGTGTGCTAAGCATGAGTAGGGGTTTGCAAAGCTCTCCCGCTCTGGGAGCGGACAGCCTTAGTGCCGGTGATCTGTTCATGCACACCTTTGTGCCTCATGCTAGCTTCCTTTTGTAGGCCAGCTTCTGCTGTCCACAGGCAATTTTTTTTTCTTTCCCTTGAGCGTGTGGTGTGTGCTTTCAGCTCCAAACTGTCAGCTAGCAGTTTCCACAATTTACAGATTTTTTTCAAGTAAAAAAACTACTAACAGAAAGAGAGTTCATAAAGGGCATGTTAAAATCAAATGTTCCAAAACATGCCAGGGTTTGTTATACCTGACACTGTTCCTTTTGGCATACGCTTGTAAGTTATTATGTGAATGCTGTTAATAGATTGTTATAGAATATATTTTTAAATTTATTTTTCAGCATTGAAGTAGTTGGGGAAACATCTGTGCTCTTTGTACCTTCATTAAAATCCTCTGCATTCCAAACGTGGGGGGAAAGCATGTGGGCAAAGGGCTGGAACCATGGATGCAGTACAGTTTTCAACAAAAAAGCAAGGCATCACCCGGTACTCCCTGGTATGGAGTGGACAAGGGGTAGTCTGTGTTAATGCTTTCAGAATCAGATTTCTACAGGCTTATTAGTTTTTGGAGATGTTGATATACAAGGTGCTTGTCGTCAAAACTTTGCTACCTGATCACTGTGCTGGTCCTGCAGGAAGACTTTATTCTGTAGCTCCTGGCGTTTCTGACACAACAAAATTGTTGACTTTCTAAAAGAGGACAGGAGGGAATGGA